ACTCTCAAGCCAGGCAATAAAAGCATTCAGCTGAAAGAAATTAGCTATGGCTGCTTCCACAGCGAGAAATACAGAATGCAAATGTTCTCTCACAGAGAAAAAATTTGAGAAGAATCTCAAATCAAGACTGTTTTTATCTTTCTGTAGGATAAGGAAGACTGAAGATAATTTTTTTTTTTTAAGTTTCTGAAAAAAAAACTTTGATAGCTTGGTAATAATGGCCAGATTACGTACAAGCAAGAGCAGGTGTCTGAATCACAGAAAAAAGCAGAGTTGCAGGAAAAGGTTTGAAGGAAATCAGATAAACCTTCAGCTTGAATAACTGATTTGGTTTGTCGCTACTGAGCATATCCCCAGACAACTGAAATTTGGACACTATTGTGATATGTTGATAGAAGGCTAGATCACACACAATATATGAATTTTCTTAGATGTTTCTCTTTTCAGCACTTATGAAAGAAAGCATTTCTTCAAGAGCTGCAAGTACTAACATTAGTTTTCCTTTTAGTAACAAGACAAATACTGTCAAATAAAAATAAAATCAATAAATGAAAAAATAAACTAAATAAAAAAATAAAAAATTGTTGATTCAATCTGTATCTAAAAGTTACAAGGGAAAGGTGGTTAAAATACAAATTATACCTTTTTTTACTTTTTTTTCCTTCAGAAAATACACCCGCTCAGGATCACGCATCAGTAGTACTTGTTTACAGTGGAAAAAGGCTTTATGATCCTAAATACTATCCCACTTCATAATCAGTTCAGATTTAGACTTTTACTTCCTTGGGGTTTTTGTTTTGGTTTGGTTACATTATTTCTCTTCCAGAACAGCATTCAAATAGTAATTTTTTTTTATTTATTTTAAAGCTGGTGCCTGATCTCGAGCCATAAAGAATTTATAGCTATGTAAAGTTAACTGCAACAAAGGAAAACAACTATACTTTCTTTTTATATTTATATAAAAGAGTTTAACTCTCATTCAATTTATTTTAGAACAGTATGCTAACATAACAGTTGATTATTTTAACACAGACACTTAATACAAAACAGTTCTACATACTATTTTATCACTAGCCAGCTCTCTGTTGGGAGGGAGGAGGGGGTAGAAGAAAGAAAGAAAGAAAGAAAACTCTTATCTTTCTTCTATTTCACAGCTGTCAGTGTCCAGGCAGATGGCAAGGATAAAATGTAATTTAGTCAGAATTCATTAAGTACAATTAGGCAATTTGATAGCAATATAAAAGATTAAGATGGACATCTGAGCCAGGAGGTGTCAAAGACAGCACCTGTTTGCTTCGTTCAAAAATAATGAAGAAAGAAAACCATCTTTGTTAACAGCTACCCTACTGGGGAAGTAAGTTACCTGCAGGAACGGACCTTTATGATATAATGCTGTGTGCTGTAGCTATGGTTGCATATGAATAGCCATGTAGAGAAAAATCCATTGCTCTGCCTGGTAAAAATTAGCTAACATTAACATCATTAATGTGATTCAGATCTCAAACAAGGTATAATTAAAAAATAAAAATAAAAAAAGAGGCCTAAAATCTCCCAACCTTCCAATGCTACCATTTCTGTTTATTTTCTGTTATAGGACCAAACAGAATTGGAAACACCTGTTTTGCTGATTTTTTGAAAGGACATCTATCATTAGACTGGTTGTCATGACACGTAATACTTACATAAATTCTGTCCTTACTGTAGCGAACTTTAATATTGTGAAGGAGAGTGGCTTCATTTAAATACATAAGGGAACCTGCAAGTAAAAGACAATCATATACCATTAAGCACTCAGGACTATCTTCATGCACAGCCAAAAAATTCAATCTTAGGATTAAGGAGAACTTTACTTCCCCTCTCTTTGGGTACAGTTTAATCCTATCATTTTTTTATACCATCTCGAGGCAGAACTGCTGACTTAATATACGCTGTAAAAACCTCAGACCTGCTCTTTAATGCACAGCTGGAGTTACAGAAAGTTGCTGAACAAAGGCTCAGACTCCAGGACTCTCAACACAAGCCCTGCTCAGCATAAGCTCCCTTCTACCAGCCTTTCAGACCATCACGGTATGTCTCCCTCCACACCGGCCCGTAAGCGCAGTAACCGGCGCCTACCAAGATCCCTGACATCGACTGTTTCCATCCTGCCAGCTCCCCTCTCCAGTCTTGGCCACAGTGTCCCCAGGGTAATGCCCCCTCACTGACGTTTAGGCTAACTGCTGGCTCCTGGTGACTTTTAGAAGTCCATATCACCAACTCAATCAGGAAACACTGCCTAGAGGTGGTAGCAGGCACCACTGCAACAGCAGGTACCAACGCTACCTTTCATGTTTCAATTCTGAATTTTGCTGCTAGCAAGCCTCCTCAAAGAAACTGTTAGGGGAAAATAAAAATGTTAATGCGACAACATTTTATTTTTCTCCTTAGCTCATTAATATAAACGAACAGAACCAACTCTGCCGAAACGCTACAAGGTGGCAGCTCAAGGCAGCGCGCAGGCACCCACAGAAAGCTTCAGACCACATGGGTTCACAGTCTGGCAAATCTGGTCCTTGGAAAAGGGTGGCAGCCTTAATTGCAGAGGTCATTACCAGTTCCCATTGTAACAATATTAAAAACATTATCCTTAAACCAATGGAGGGCACTGCTCATTACCCAGCCTTCATTTTCAAATATGCTCAATCCTTTTTTTCACGACAATTAAAAGGCACAGTAACTGCTACCCTGCACCTCACACGAGGGCCACACACGCACTACTCATCTGATCTGTAACGACCAACAAAGTTGTTTCTCATGTTGGACCAAGTTGGACCGATGCCCTTTCTCGAGGGCTCCAGCAGAGAAAAATGTATTCCAATGTATTTACACAAACTTGCAAGACGGGCTGCCCGTTCTTATGACCTCAAGTCAACCTGCCCAGCCACCTCACCTTGCAAGAACGCCTGGAGGCCATTAAGCAGCTCTCAGCATCTCCTTCAGTGCTCCTCCTGCT